CTGATTGGCATGGTCGAAAGAGAAACCGAAATCTGCGTTATTGTTGCTCTGGAGGAATTCACGACGGAACTACTGAAAGAAACAGTGAAAAAGTGGATAGTGCCTGGCTCCATACTCATTTCGGACCAGGTAACCTATGCTGACGGCCTGGCTGAGCTCGATTTCACCATTTTCGTCACTGAATCGTATGTGGCCAGGATGGGGATTGTTAACGGGCAGAGGTTGAACGTGAACAATGCATTGCTGCAGAGCATCTGCGATGAAGCAAGAACCAAATTCAGTGCTATGAATGGTACTTGTAAGGCTCATTTTAACAGCTACATCAGTGAATACTTGTTTCGGAGGACTTTTCGCGATAACGATGTTTTTGCAGCCCTCATCTGCTGGGCTCCATTGTTGTATGCTGCCTAATTGTTCCTCTCCTTTTGCGAGTTTACGTACTTTCGTTCGAATCACTGATTGTCTTCACTTTCAGGGAGAGGGGAGGAAACGGTAGAAAGCCGGAAAAGATAAGAGGATGTAGGAGGAAATATTATATTAACGCTTTTCAGTTTTACAGCGCTACATTGTCTATTTCAATCTTAATTTACGTTTCTTTGTATTGCCGTATGTTACTTCATTCTTACTGAGGTTTAATGCTAATGATTCAAGTATTCATAGTTTTTACTGCGCAGCTTCGAAACAGTATTTCAGGGTTTACTCCACCTGCTCGCCATCGTGCTGCCGATATGACATTAAGTAGAACGCAGCGCTTGGCACGTGCTACCATTTGCACAGCTTCATCGGCTCCTCACAGACAGTGAATACGAAAGGGATTTTGATTTTGATATCTGAGGTTTCTTTTGTGGCCAGTGTCTTTGCAAATTTATTGTATCGAACTGACCACTAAGAAACCGTGAAATTTACGTAACAGAGGAAAAGGAACTCAAGTATGTACAGAGGTTGAAGTTTCGCAATATCGTGGATTTCAAAGAAATACTGTTTCATTCTTGTCGTTTTGTTATATAATATTGTTGCAGAATATTTCGTTGTTTCAAATATCTATTCTTCATATTTACTTCGTTCGCTTATCCGAACACATCTGCTACAAACTTTGAAGACTTCAAAATGAAGTAAATTTTGTTTTAATAAAAAAACCCAAGCCGCACCACACCAGGCTTGCCAGTGCGGTCATGCGATTTTGCACTAAACTCGCAGATCGCTAATTGCAGGAATAATCCCTGGTCTGTAGCCTTACACTTGGTCTCATATTGGCCGTGCTTTGCCTCTTCCGGCATACAGGGGAAACAGCACCAGTTGAGACGAAAATGGTACATTCCAGGAGTGTGTGGGCCTCCAGGTAAATGATCCTGTGCAGTGCTATAGCAGCGCTATAGCGCTGCCACAGCCAGTAAAAACGCATATTGTTAATAGACTTTGTGTGTGTGTGTGTGTGTGTGTGTTCGGAGGCTGGTGCATTTTGTCACCCACTTTCATCTCAGCAACGAGGGAAGCTAGGAGGCTGAAACTTTGAGTTTGTTCCTATTCCGTGCATCATCCTCCCGTTTCAAGATAAATCTATCAAATTCAGCCCCCAGTCATAAGTGGTTCTCGTGTACGGCCCCGTGAAATTTTTTGGCGGGAAAATGGCAGACTCGGAAACTTACAAAGCTGAGAGGTTGGACTTTTCAGGAAATGTTCTCAGCCCATGTACGACTTAAAGTTATCAAATTCAGCCCCCAGGCATGTGCGATTTTTGTGTACGACCTCGTGAA